ATTTTGGGGTATTTCTAAATTGATGACCTGTGGGGGCTTTTAAAGTGTCTTTTATTGACTTTTTGGGGTACTGCAGTTTTTCGCCGTTTCACGGTCGCACGCAATCTGTAAACTGGGCATGTTGGGTATCGTTTTACTCGTTGTAACCTCATCTTTTATATTTCATTTAAAAAATGGGTAATTTGTTGTGTTTTGGGGCATTTAATTAAATTTGTCACTAAATTTTGGGGTTTAATAAGGAGTTGCGCTAATATTGCGCAACATAAAAATTTTCAACTACCACCATTTTATTCTATAGGGTCTTGGCATTCAGAAAATATATAATGTTGGGGGGTTTTACGTCATTTTCAGGCCTAAAATGTGGAATATAACATGGGTGCAAAAATTGAAAAAAGGGCCTCAGTCATGAAGGGGTTAAAGGATAAGGGTCTCTTCCAGGTGAGTCAAATTGTATTTTAACATAATAAAATAGTATGTGCATGAGCTTTTTCATTGTTGTAATAGGCAACTACCAAAATACCCAACAGACGCACATTTGGCTCATACATATTAGAAAATACTAGACTCACAGATAGGAAAATAGTGATCTGCTTCCAAAAGGTTATGCACACATTGCCTTATGGAATGGAAAAAAACTCACCTGCTCTGTAATTTCTGAAAGCAGTAAGAGAATATGTGGAAGCCTAGTTCACACAATTTACCTGGGGTATAATATATCCCGTAAAAACTTTCATCTGTTTAAATTCTCCGTTTCGAGCTGAAATCAGAGATACCATAGGTGTGTCCTAGAACTCATCCCAGTTAACTTTGTCAGGTTATGGTAAAAAAGTTAAACATCTAGCTTTCATTTTGGAGAGCTTGGTTTGATTCAAAAGTAATATCTTCTAGAGCCTAATTCAGAATTGTCCCCATTTAACAATAAGGTTTTTGTTAGAGGGCAACATTCAAAAGACCTGAATGTGCTTTGTCCCAAACTTTTAAACTATTTTCAATATCAATGCCAAAATTTCTGCCAGGGTATGCAAACCTTTAGGCACAACTGTATATTTGAAATGGTAAGTAGAATAACTGCACCTTGATGTCAATCTAGCAACCTGCAGAGGCTGGCCTAAAATGTCTGTATTATATAATTGTTTAACTACTTAGAACATTGAAAAAACTAATAAATACACAAAGAAGTAATAGTTGGATTCTGGAATAAGCTTTGCAGACTGCATAGTTTTTTTGAATCCACTAGGTGGAAGATTGGAGCACATTAAAACTGTCATTAGATTAATTGGATGTTAAAGCAGAACTCCAGCATTTTTTTCTTTAACCTTTGCAGTGGGGCTACTCCCGCACTGCAAGGGTTAAGCGCTCGTTTGTGTCTAGTCTAAAAAAAAAAAGTTACTCACCCAAAGCTCCAAGCCGGTCTCTTTTTAGATCGGTCCCTGGAATGTCTCTTCCCCCTCCTCTGCAGAGGTCTAAAGTCCAGTAAATCATCACGTCTATACACTGTGCATTGACATGAGGACGCTGAGGAACGTTCTGCGGAGGAGGAGGGGACAAACTGGAAGGAGTGCTTTAACAGCTGGTCGACTAAGTACTTTGGGTAAGAATATCTTTATTATTTTAGCACCTAGGCACAAAGGAGCACTTAACCCTTGCAGCGCGGGGGGTAGCTCAGCTGCAAGTTCTGCTTCAAACATGCGTTAAAATATGAGAAAATTTAAGCCAAAATCAAATTATCTAAAGTGATTCGATTACATTTGAATTAGGTTTGGTAAATATTTTCCCCAAATCACTTACACAAATGTATGGGGGGGCTATAGCATCTAGTGAAGCCCTCACAACGCCGGGCCTCTTATTACTAACCTCTCAGCTGTTTGGCTTTGCAGTTGCTGGCACATAATGCGTTCTCGTAGCAGCATCCACCCATCTGCCCTCGCCCATTGTTTTCTTTGTCGTGTTGTATAAGAGGGGATATTCATCTAACTATCAGCTGGAGGGACAACTTTAATCTTGGGTTATTCATTTGTTTATATTTGTGTGGTTATCCTAGCTTTATGGCTGGGCCTGTGTATTTATACATTTGCATGTTTTGTTTTAAAGAAAAAAAAATTTGTTTTGGGTAATAAACACCAGAGCCTTTTCTGCCACTATGCTGTGTCTGTCTTTATTTATTCTTCCATTCTTGTCAGTTTTATTTCTAAGGTTTCAGCATCGCATGGGAAACTACATTTTTTGCAGACAAAATTCTGTTTTCATCATTCCACATACTAACTATGTAAGGAGTTTGCTTCTAGGTAAACTTCAGCACCACCTTCAGTTCAGAAGTAAAATTGTAGCAGAGAAGAGACAGGATACAAAGGACAACAAGATAAAACCTCTGGACATATGCAAGTCTGAGAAGTTCTCAGAACACTGAGGAATTGGAAAAGTGCCTTGAGAAATCAAACTATAGCATAGTGTAAGAGAAAAGAGCCGCTGAAAATGAAATAGAAGTGGAATGCATTGAGAGGAAAGATAGATAGATTATACTCTAGGCTACACACACATATACAGAAATGTAACATATTGCAGCTAACCATTCCCTAAATGTGTTGGCTGCATTGTAGGGATGTCCCGATACCGATGCTAGCATCGCAATACGGCCCGATACAGGGCATTTTGACAAGTACTTGTACTTGTCAAAATGCCCCAATACATAGCGACGTAGCTTGCACTATGTTTTTTTTTTCCTTACTTACCTCGCCGAGCGTCGTGTCACTGCTGCTCTGGTGGGCTGGCTTATCATTACTTATCATTGCTTATCATTCCAGGTGCTCAGAACATTTTTTACTCAATATGGTCCAAATGGTTATCTTTTCGCCCTGCTGGGATGCCTACTTGTCATTCTCGCTGAATGCTGCCAGCCCTCACCTCACTCCTCCTTCATGGTTGCCATACAACCTTGTTTGCCTTTGTAGAGGCTACATCAACACCCTTTCCCTTTTTATTCTCATTTGATTAAGCATAAAGAGATATGTATATCCCTGTGGTAGGGGTTAACTACTTTTTACTTCTTGTTCTTATTTCTTTTTTGTATATTTCTGTATTCCCATGGTTTTGTATGTTTTTGCTTTTTACATACGTTTTTTCTACATGCTTAAAAACCAAAACAAATTAATAAATACTATCTGATTTAAAAAAAAAAGGAAAAAATGCTGTCAAATTAGACATTGGAAGGCATATTTATACTTGGTCAATGTCATATTGCCCATTTTCTAAATGTACACCTTGTAATACAATAGGAAGGTGGTTTCCACAATTTCATAAATTTGTGCAAAGGATTTACTGTCCCTGCCTTTTCTCGCAAGTTAAAGCATGCCTAATGTCAAACTATTTTTCCATTTGGGGTAGAATATAGAATGGTCAGAACTTAGATATTTTCCCTTCTGTGTGCCTTTCTTGTACAGACAAAGTGAGAGAAAATATGTTTTGGTTTTAGATGCATTAGCAAAAGCAGCACATTTCTTTTAGTTCACCTTAGATGGGCATATAAGCACCCAACAAATTAGGCAAGGCGCACTTGGTTTAGCTACCAGATGGATGATTCCCACATTAAAAACATGTATTCAACTTGACTGACTGGGCATTTGGACTGTTTAACAGCAAGGTTTGTAAGCCAGACAATTCTATTCTAACATGCCTTTTTAAAAAAATAATAAAACGAAATATTTTAAAAATAAGCAAACCATAAATGTAATAGCAGCACATGGATAACTTACTTTAGGTAGAAATCAATAATTACATCATTCAAAAATTCTCCTTCATTTAGGCAATGCAGATCCTCGTTTGTGACTGAGATCCCACCTTTTGCAGGAGGCGGAGGATACACAATCAATCTAAAAAGAAACAAAAAGTAAAAGGTATAAGCTTGAGTAGTCGTTTACCATTGGAGTGGGGCTAAAAAAAGTTATACTCATCCAATCCTAGGAGCCAGCTGGCTCTTAGACCGCCCACTGGAGCCTCTCTCCCTGTCCGCTGCAGCAGTCTAAGGTCCCATAAATCATCACATTCTATACACAATGTGAGGACACCGAGGACCGTTTCCATGCAGCAGCGTAGGTGGAGAGATGCTTCAGTGACTGGAGAGGCAGGCAGTCAGCTCCGAGGATCGGGTGCGTTTACCTTTTGCTATTTTATCACTTAGACAAAAACAAGCACTTAAAGTGACAAAGTCAAACTTTTTTTTCCCCCCTCCCCAATCCTGCTGTAGAGACTTACCTTAAATTATGCCTCTTAATCCGATCATCATCTTCTTTACTGTCCTTTTCAGCTGTCCTTCCAGGGCTGACTCCTCTGTCCTCCTCTTGTCTCATGTCCCACGGAGTCTGTGCGGGTGCACGCTGATCCATATACTTACCTTGTGTCTCTACTCGTCTCCGGGCCGAACATCTGAACTGCAAATGCGCCCGCCCCAAGATCCTATGCGGCAGCCCAAGACACTTCAGATGTTTGGACGGGAGCGCGCGGGGAAGACACAGGTAAGTTTAAACCCTTTTTCCCAGCCGGCCGTAGTAAAAAAAAAAAAAACGGCCGGCCGGAAGCTTCCTGGATGTAACAGGCCGTGTATATATGGCCTGTTAGCCCTGCCCACTCGTGCGCACCATGCGCGAGTGGGAAATACACAAAATTTTAACAGATTTTTTAAATAAAAACAGGCAGCGATGCCTGCTAACATACAAGCGATCCGCCGGCTATGGAGACGGCGGATCGCTTGTATAAGCTGCCGGCCCGTGTCCCCCCACCTCTCTCCGCGGCCCCCCTCCCATTGTCATGCTGGTCCCGGGCTCCGCTGTGCCTGGTGCGAGCCCGGGACCAGCATAGTGCCCCTCTGACAGGGGATCAGAGGGAGGTCGGTACACGATCTCCCTCCGGTCCTCTCTCCGGTGTCAGAATACGGACCTGTCACATCTTTTGCTATCACATAGGGGGTTCCTTAGGCCCTTATGTGATAAAGTGAAGTGGGAAAAAAAAAAAAAAAAATGAAAGTTTCACCCCCAAAAAATGTAAAGTTACACATAAAAAAAGAATTACATTTTTTTTTTTTTAAAGTCCCCACCCATACATACGCGCATGCAAACATGCGTCAGGCGCGCACACCTGCGAAACCGACGATTGCGGCCATTACGCCGCACATGTTACATATCACCGCGAACGTCACAGTGAGAGCAATAATTTTAGAGCCATCAATCACTGATAACACTAAACTGTTGCTGTGAAAGCTTTTAAAGCGTCGCCTATGGTGAATTTTGGATATGGTTTTTTTGCGATTTCGCGGGTGCGAATTTTTAAGCTTGACATGTTTGGTGTCTATTTACCCGACGTGACCCCGACTTTTATATTTTACCAAAAAATTGGGTAATAATAACTGTTTCCCAACATAATGTAAAAAAAACTTTTTTCCCCCCAAAATTTTCAGTAATTTTTCCTAAATATAGTAAAAAAATAAAAACCCCAGTGGTGATTAAACACCATCAAAAGAAAACTCTATCTGTCCCCAAAGAAATGGTATAAAAGTCATATCAGTACAGCGTTGCGTGACGGAATAAATGTCAAAGTACTGCAGCGCTGAACACTGAAAAATGGCCTGGCCAGGAAGGGGGTCTAAACACCTGTAAAGAATGTTTTGCTACATAATAGACAGTAATATCTCCTGTCAACACAAATCACTATCTGCCATGTTTTACGCAACAGACTGCCAACTACAGTCAACACGACCCACTGCTTGCCATGTTTTTACTCTGTGCCACACACATTCTTCATGTTTCTATAAGCCAACTTCTAGGAATACCCAATTCTTCCTAATAAGGTGAGTACATACTTTTCAATGGGACCAACAAAGACATTGTGTGTGTCGCCAGCCTCATCTTCATCAAAATACTGCAAATGAGTTGTAGAATTGCGCAGCTTCATTCGAGTTTCTGAAACCACCTGTGTTACAAGTACAGAACTGTCAGTGTTGTGCTAAAAATTGCAGAATTTTAAAAACCCAAATGGCTTTTATTAACTGTCTACACACAAGGTAGTAATGCACATTAAAAACACTTCCAAAATAAAGCACCGTAATAAAAAAAACATTTACATTTCTTGCTACTTGGTCCGTAGAGGGTGAATTGCACGGCAGAGCTTCTTCCGAGTGTTTTGTAAAGGCTACGAGTCTTCGGTTAGCTTCCTCAAACACAATTTTTGAGAAAAAATTTGGGATGGAATTTTTTACTCCAATTTCCATTAAAATCTTTTCGAAAAAAGCATTTTCTTCCATTGTCAGGGCCTTTTCAAGGATTAGGACGATAAATTGTTCTTCCACATCTGGTAAAGAAACAAAGGAATGGCTTGAAAAACACTGGACACCTGCTCAAAAAAGACTGAGCCCTTTGGACTTCCTCCATTACATTTACACATATTGTACCTCATATAGAAATCATTTATCCAGAAACACACAAACAAAATAAATAACACACACACACCGCTGCCATTCAGTAATGTCCTATATAAAATCTAGCCAAAATATTGTAAAGTCATTGTACATGAACACATCAAATTTAAAGCTGAACCAAGCTAGCTAAATAAAACGTTATATATATACTGGAATGGATATGCTGGAGAAAGTGCTGATTCTTTTTAACCAGTTCAGTGATGTAGCCATCCTTCCTACACAGCACAACCACACATTCATCCTCCACTGCATAAGTACAGCCTGGTCATGCACACCCAAGCCTGCTGACTGGACAATAAAAACCACAGACAGTGGGTGCTTACATCTAATTATTCCCTCAACAAAATCCCACTGCAGTTTTAAAAAATAAAATAAAAAAGGTGATTGTCCAACCAGGTTGTAAATGTAAAAAAATACTACAATATATATCCCACATTTACAAAATAATAATGCATTTGTAGCTGTATCGAGGCTTAAAAGAACAACCAGCATACTGATTATGTCATGCCCAATCCTCATATGCCAACATGTCCGGTTCTGTACAGGGAATTACAGAAAGCTGATAAACAAGTCAAATGAAGATGTTTACACCAGCTGCTTAAAAATGGTTTTTAATAAAGAACTGCATGACTTTTTTTTCTATTGGCCTGGGGTTCAGCTTTAAATGTTAATCATTTCATTATAATAGTAAAGTAACACTAAACTCAGGAGTTAAACCTTCAAAATACATTCAAGTATCCTAACTATTAACAGAAATGTATCTTATTTGTGTATTACTCAGCTGTAGATTCTCCAATCATCTCTGATTTGTATTTCTGTCTGTGTTGCTGCTGGAGGGTGATCCTTACTTTCTGCCAGGTGAAATGTTGTCAGCAGGGCAGAAATTGGTTTGTGTGGACATACACTAACTCCCAGGCAGTTTGAGAGGGGGAAAAAAGGTCATAAGTTACGTGCATGTCTGGACAGCTTTCTTTGTGTAAAATGTGCCAGGGTATCCTGTATGAGTTGTCCGATATGAATCTGACAGCTCAGTGTTATCCTTTCTTACTTGAAAGCAAGCATAGGCAGATCCAACTGAGGCTTATGTAACCCCTACCTTTTCTGATCTCTAACTGCCTGTAAGTGGACTAGGCATGTGTGACTTGAATCTTTTTAAAGTTGAGCCTCACATTGCATCTACCTTTCTTGTGTTGATTTTTCAGGCGATCACCTTATTTTTTCGTCTCGGAGAGGTGAGAGATACATTGCATTATCTTATCTCATAACCTGGTACACAGCAGCATTCCTCAAGCCAAGAACCCAGGACTTGAGAGGCATGTGATGGACTACAATCTCCTGTTTAGTTTACTAATATGTACCGAGATTGTAGTCCAACATGGGAGCGAGCTTGTAGTGGTAAAGTAGCCACTGCTCCAAGCTCACTCCCATGATGGACTACAGCGGTTACCAGTCATTAATGAATGCCTCAGTATTGACGCATTTATTAATGAAATAGTTAAGCTTTTGTAACAGCTTCTTTCTTTCATTAATGAAAGAAAGAAGCCGTTACATACAAATACCGGATCGCTAAATAGCAATCCCGTATTTGACAATTGAAAATAGCAGAGAGGTAGCAGAGTGAGTCACCTTTCTGCTATTCGTTTTGACAGCTCCATAGACTGGTCCAATGTTTACAAAGCTGTGCAATATATTTCAGGCACAGGAATATTACTATTTATCGACTTGCCTGAAATGTATCACTTCTGATCGTCTGGGCACATCAGAAACCTTTAGGGCTTGTTCACACCGAAAGCGTGTGCGTTCCAGAGCGGTAGCTGCTGGTACGCACCACAATCGCTGAGAAACTCCCCCTTGCGTTTTGGGGCGGGAGGGGGGCGTGGCGATGCATTGTATTCAATGGCATCGCTTGTCGTCCCCCCTGCCCGCAGTGCGATCGAACGCATGGCAAAACTTTGCCAGTGTTCCGTTCCACTGCAAACTCAAAAAATAGGGCAAGCTTCTCAGCGATCAAAGTGCGTTCCAGCAGCTACCGCTCTGGAACGCTACTACAATTATTATAAAAACAAATTCTAAAAAATATAAAAAGTGAGGCGTTAGGTACACGTTTGATATAATTATATAGCCCTATCTTTCCTCTAAAAAACAATATATAATATGTGTGGGTACATTTAGTAAGAAAGTATATTACAGCCGTGGAAGAATCACACAGCAAAAAGCGTGTCAGTAATTTGCGAACAGAAACTGAAAACAAGCTGTCATGAAGGGGTTAATACAAATTAGTAAACTAAACGCGAGATTGTAGTCCATCACAGGAGTGAGCTTGGAGTGGTGGCTACTTTACAACACACACAGGGACCATGGAGAACAAAAGTAGCCACCCTCCAGAAGGAAGGACAGTGCCAGCACCAATTCAGAGATGATTTGAGGATCTACAGCTGAGTGATACACAAATAAGCTACATTTTTTGTTAACAGGAAAGGTTCTGGAATGTATTTTTTAAGAGTTACCTCCTGAGGTTTAGGTCTCGTTCACACCTAGGCGTATTGCATATGCGCGTCTGTGGCGCGACCGTCGTGCGTTTTTTTAACCGCGATTCGCGGTAAAAAAGTCACGCGACAAACGCACGTTTCCGAAGGCTACTTGGCTGTATCCCAATGGAAACGCGCAACAAAACAGCCCAAAGTAGTACATGTACCTTTTCAGGCGTGGGCCGTTTTGTAGCGTGTTAGGGACGGGCGGAAATACGCCAAGGTGGGAATACAATGGGATTCATATTTTTGAGCGTTTTGTAGAGCGTTCGTCGAGCGTAGAACGCGCTACAAAACGTTCAGGTGTGAACAAGGGCTAAGTGTCATTTTGAATTTTGACATTCCACCAGTCTCTGATGGCATCAAATGTTCTGACGAGATTTTTTTTTTTTTTATTTATGAATGTTTATACGAAAATCTACCAGTCTATGGCCAGCTTAGGTCCGATATTTCTGAACGTCTTATATATTACTATTTTGACTGAATTTTCTAGAGAGAACATTTACTTTTCACAACCACATGACAATATAAAATGTCCTAACTCTATGGCAGGTGGCAGTATACATTTTGGCATTTTACCAACAGTATTGCCTGGTTACAGCTAGCCAACTGTCCTTTCCCAACCTCATTTTAAGCTTATTGTAGAAACTTACTTGAAGACTTGGAATCATACCATCCTACAATATTCTTCAGTCTGCTCATCTTAAACTGCGACCGCAGTTTCTGACAATAGGAGGCGGTACTCTGGAAAAACATCACTGAAAGTTTTCGTACACTGCACCATTCGCACTTTATTAGCTCCGATGTATTCAATAATAATTCCAGCTGACCATCTTCAGAATCTTCAGGTGCTGCAAAAAGTCAAAACTATGCATTATTTGTATTAATGTTAAAACAGATTTAAGAGTTTACTTGGACAAATGCAACTGTATAAAGTTACACACACCATTCAAATAGGAATATTTATGAAAATATATCTGAAATAAAAAAAAGTCATAGAAGGGAATTTATCAAAACTGGAGCAGGACAGAATCTGGAGCAGTTGCCCATTGTAACCAATCAGCTCCTCTCTCTCATTTTCAAAGCTTAACTGAACAAACTGAAGTGAAAAACCGATTGGTTGCCATGAGCAACTGCTCCATATTCTCTGTACCAGTTTTGATAACTTTGTCCCCACAGCGTAGAGCTGCGTTTGCCATATATGTATACCCCTCTGCTCAAAAAGACATTAGAATGGTGTCTATTAGACTTTTTAACTAGTCATGGACTTTTGGTGTGTCAGTTGAAGCAACTTTGCGAGTCAAAAAATAAAATAAAAATGTATATATTTCTATTTATCCCCTAATTACACTTACTTAACCCTAAACAGCCCTAATTAAAGAAGAACTATGAGGCGAGTGCTTTTCACTCACCTCATAGTTCTAGCTGACTTGTGGCAATGAGACTGTCACAGTTCGGCTCAGTAGATCGGGAGGTGAGCGAACACATACCGGCGTTCTCTCACCTCTCGATCCTGACACGGCTCTCTGCCGTGACAGGGGAGGGGCTGGTTTCCCCCCTCCCCGCTCCGATAGCACATAATTGTCGGGATCCGCTTCAGCTGCGGCATCTCAGTATACCGCAAGCAGCAGCTCGCGGTATAGTGCGCCGTCTCAGTATACCACGAGCTACATCTCGCGGTATACTGAGCCTAGGGTGACGGGAGGACACTAGTTTGTGTCCTCCCGTTACCCTAAGGAGAACTATGGGGAATAGCCTTATCCCCATAGTTCTCCTTTAACTCCTTCCTGCCCTTCTCTCCTTGGCCTTTATTTTGCTGCTGATAATTCTTATTTCTCTTTTTGTTACCATTAATATTAAAACTTTTTTTAACTTTATTTATTTTGTAACGCTATTGAAAAAAAAACAAAAAACATTTTTTTATTTTGTCAAAAATACTTCCATGCTTAGAAATATATTTTCTTTAATGCACTTTTTATCCAAAGCAACATTAGTTAATTAAAAACGGTCATTTGATTAGTAGACTATATACATACTTGTAGGCTCTCTCTCTAGCATGCAACTCTTCAGCTGACAGATATATATATCTCTCTCTCTCTCTCTCTCTCTCTCTCTCTCTCTCT